AATGCCAGAGTTTCTGAGCCAATATTGCTAAGAAAGAGCATTGTTAAGTGAGTTTCGCCACATTTTACAAGTTAGCCACACCCACCCTGTCACATGACTGTCAAGTCACTTCCACCCAGTCACATGGCTGGCAAGCCACTCCCACAAAGCAGGCCACACCTACAGAAGAGGTTCTAAAAAATTTTGAAACCCACCACTGCTGTAAACCCTTGTACTGGGATAGAGTCTCAGCAACTGATTGGAGTTGAGTGTTTATTGGCTGGATGCCCTTCCTGATCTCTACTTGAAATCCCAGCTGATCGGGAGGGAATGGAGATTTTACAGTATCCTTCCTCTGCCATGCCAAGCGAGCCAAGCTGCACCCACCAAGCCACGCCCACAGTAGTAATTTTTTTAATCCCACCACTGAAGAGCTTCTATTGTAAACAACAGTTTGAGCTTTTCTTGAGCATTATTTCCTTTTGTCTATTTTTCACCATTCTGTCCGATTTTCGCCATTCTGTCCATACATACGGTGTATCTTCAGAACTTTGCTATATCATTGTAAGTCAGAATTTTGCCTTCTATCCCTGAGGCTGAGATTATGCTAGAGGAAAGAGGCATTTCAGGGGGGGAAATGGCAGTCATGAAAAGGAGCTCTTCATTTAATCTCACATTTCATAACTGGCATCAACTTTCTATTGATTTCAGAGATGAGTTATTAGATCTCTTGTTCTACGATTGACCAGTGGCATTAAGAGATTGACCTTGAAACAAACTTTCTATTTGATAAATAAGCCAACAGAACAAAAATCCTTTCAACTGATTCCAGTTTACTGAAGTCTTTCACAAAGAATTTTTTTGTTGTGTTTAATATAAGAAGGCAGGTGGCAGAATAGCACCACATTCAGCAGAAATCATTCTGTCTTTGGTTTACATTATCAACGGCCCAGTCCTTGCTGTTTTTCTCTTACTCAGGCTAAGGAATGTGTAAGTCCTCTGCAATAAGTTGCAGGTTTCCTTCTCAGTCTTCCTCTCAGCTTGAAGAATGCCTGTTCAGGCAGTGAACTAGAAAACTGTGTAATCTACCTGGGAAAATTTGTTGGTCACCTTAAGAAAAGAGATGTTGGAAAAACCCACCACAGTTTTCTCTTCAATCACAATAAGCACCAAAACATTTGCACTACAAACACATAAGCCATCTATCAGGTTCACTAGGTCTAAAACTATCTAAACAAAATCTCTTCGTAATCAACTTTGTAATAATTGAACTCATACAGAAGTGAACTTTGTTTGCAACAGATAGATAAACAGAAATACTGACTATCAAAAGAAACGTATGCATATATTATACGTGAGGAAAAATCAGATATTTAGGAAATGCATGTACAAAATGCATGTATTGGAGAAAAATACTGACAGGAAAAAATATAAATGTTGCTGTTCTTGTAAAAAAAAACAACCAATGTGCACATTTTATAAAACTGATTAATGTGTGACTATATCTGAGATGGAAACACAATATTCCATACCTTATGTTGTGGCCCAGCAGGAGCCATTGGAGCTGCCACCAGACTCCGACAGTGAGGGGCCCTATGAGTCGGTTCTGGAGGATGTGGAGGACCCTGGACAGGATTCCGACTCTGAGCAGGGCGCAAAGAGGCTGGTGTTGTTGCTAGCTTAATCTTTAT